CCGCCGGTGGTGCCCGAGCGCGGGCCTGGCCTCGGCGCGGGAGGCGCGGGCGGGTCCCCTGCGGGCTTCCCCCTCGGACGCTGCATCGCCGCGCGCCGGGCAGCCCCCGCGCCCCCGAAGGGGAGCCTCGGCTCCGGCCGGCGCGGACGGGCTCGCCGTCGCCCCACGCCCCTCCGCGCTTGCTCCTCTCCATGCTTCCCCGGCAGGCGGTCCTGGCGGATTCGCAGGGGAAATCGCTCCGGAGCGGCTTCTTCCCGTAACTTCCCAGCTGAGCCGTTCGCCGCTGCTGAGTGAAGCCATTAGCGTGGAAAGCGTGGCTTTGGTCGGGTGGGGGATGCTTCGCCTGGCTTTGCACGGGTGACCGGGGCTCCTGAAATAGCCTCCCATGGTAAAAGCCACGCTTTCCATAGCGGCTGCTCTTTTTCCGGGGAAGCCTGTGCTTACCTTTTATTTATTAAAAGTTTTTATAACCCGTTCACTACAAACGTCTTGGGCGGCTTACAGTAAGTGAGTAGAATAAAACGAACGTATGACTTCCCCTGCTAAGTGCGAATGCGTGTGCAGGAATTATACTCTGTGTGAACCATTCTGCAGCATACAATGGAGGCATACAAAATTATGCACTGTGTAGAGAAGCTTGATAAGGAGATAAACATCTGAGATTATCCCATGAAGTTGATGAGGAAGTCATACTAGAAAAAAGGCTTCACTTGGTGCAGGTAAAATAGGGCACTTGCTATCACAAGATACAGTAACAGCCATCAACTTGGAAGTTAGACAAATCCATGGAATAGGAGCTTATCAAGAGAGATTTTGGCATAAGTAAAGAAATCTGGTTGAGCCAGCCTCTCAGCGAACCTGGAGAGACTTGGCTTAGGGATTCTATCTTTGTTGTGAAGCAGCATGAAGAATGATACAAGGGGTTCCAAAATACTGTTTCTGCTAAGATAGTAGTTCCGTAAATCACTTAGGAGTTTACTCTGAGTCAGCCAACATAGTTCAGTAAGTACATGAATCTTTGGTGATAAAGGTTCATATCTGTTGTAAGCCATCCAGAGACCCTGCAGGTATTGGATGGGGTAAAAAAATACCCAAATATATAAATAAATCTGCTCAGGCAATAAGCTGAGGGTAACCCTTTCTCTCCTTGGTTCTTGCTCTGCAAACTGGACTGAGCAACTTTAAGTGCAATGAACTAAATGAATCAGACAGTGCCCCCCTCTCCCCGTTGTCCTGCTTTCCCTTTTTCCAATTCGATTTCAACAAAATCAAGGACGAATGCAAAAGCAAGTCCATTGAGCTTGCAAACGGTCGAGCACAAACATGGCAGTCCCATGTGGATCAGGCCAAGGCAGGCGTGGGGAAGATAGGGGCTGTCGTCAAAGCACGGCAAAACAGGCAGGTTGGTGGTTTCCAAGAGAGGCCTTGGGCACGGCCAAGGTCAAAACCAGAGTCCTCTAGCAGAAGCACAGTCCCAAGAGCAGAGGCAGGGAGGGACCTGGAGGCCGTGGAGGTTCGGACGGAAGGGCAGGCCATGGATACAGGAGCTAAAGAAATTACATTGCTTCAGCTGCAGCAGGCGGAACTCTCCTCCCAGGCTGCCCCCGGTCTCCCAACGTGGCTGCATCCTCCTCCAGGCATGCGGGAGGGACACCCAGGCAAGGGGTGAGTGGCACCCAGGTCCCCTTTCCCGCAGTTTTTCTGGAAGCACTGAAAAGCCATTCTCTCCCACGGGAATTGCAGAGTGAGTAAGGTAACAGCTTTCTGCCGCTGCTGCCATGGAGAAAGGGCTCCCCTTGGCACTGGGCAGAATGTGAAGACAACGGCCTCTGGGGAGAGGGGAAGGGGCGTGGGCGCACGCGTGGTGACCAGATGCCGGTGCTCCGGAGGCGTCGCCCGCTTCCAGCAGCTCCCCAGCACATCCGAAACACAGGCACGGGGTTCGGCAAGTTTTCCTGTTGGGGGAATCTACCTGGGGGTCTTTACCAGCGTTCTCCCAGGCACGGCACAGGTGCACCCAGGAAACTGCCCCCTCCCCATGTTACTCCAGCCATTGCACTGGGGATTTCTTCAGGGCAGTTGTAGTGCCACTCTGGTATAGGATGCGTTTCGCGATGATGCTGTATATTTCAGTGTGTGCTGAGCTTGAGGCATCTCCTGGCGTGGGCAGAGGAGCAGCTTCAGCAGGTTGGTGGGCTGAAGGGGGGGATGCCTTTTTTAAAGGGGCATTTGCTGATGCTCATGTGCAGAGGTATGAATGGGCAAATAACACACAGTTCTCACATTGTTTCAAGACCTGGGTGAGAAACTAGCTGAAAACATGCTGATATACATGACTACTCAGGAGTAACTCTCATTGCCAGCAATGGCACTTGCTCCTGCAAAAATCAGTGTGCAAGAGAGGCTGAAAAGTACATGTGAAAAATCCCCAGTATACGTGTTTCCTCACAAGTAAATCACATTACATTCAATATACTTTTGCAAAAGGCATAATAGGAAATGGGCCTTGGCTTTCAGGAAAGAGCTGTGAATTCCTTTTTTTTTTTTTTAATGCCCCTTCCTTGTACCAGTAAGCATGTGCATAAGCTTAATGGATCTAAAAAAACGAATGAAACATAAATGGCCATTTCCCTACATAGATCACTTTCCATCTCCTCCTCCTCCCACAATTGCATTTGTGTGCCACAAGATCACAATTTCAACAGACTGTGCTGTATTTATTTGTGTGTGCCCCTACAGTGTTAAATCTGTTTTGCACAAATACTGTGACTGCGCTCCCTCGCTGATACACAGAAGGGGCTCCGGTGTAGATTCCACCCCCAACTTTAGTAATAGCGCGATTAAAAATATGAAAAGGCCCTTTGCTCTTCCTGCCTTCCATAATTTCCAGTTGTAGTTGCAATGAAAACTGGGAAGAAATGACTTGTTGCTAGGTGGACTCTTAAAAACTTACTTTTAAACGGATTCCATACCCTGGGGCCCTGAGGGCTCGTGGGACGGGGCCCCTGGGTTCCCATGAGCTCCTTCTGTCCTCAGAAGGGAAGAAGGTAGGCAGGACACCTGCAGAAGTTCCTTCCCGCAGGAAATGGAATGCCTGGCCGACGTGTCAAACAATATGCAGTCTCTTGTATATTTTATTGTGAATTTATTTGTTGCAGGTCACCCAGAGTTGTTCTTTTTAACCAATGTGTCGTGGGGTAGAATTTGAGCTACCTAAGGGTGCAGGCGACCCCCCGTGTGAGTTGCTCCTGAGAGGCCCAGCCAAGGGTCATGCGACAAACCCTGCAGTCCCTGCTCTCGGGAGGTCCCGACTGTCCCCAGCCTTTTCACGACGCTGTAGGATCATACAGTGAAATCAGAAACATTCCTGTCCGGAAAGGAAAACAAACAAGGTTTGGCTCCGTTTCCTCCCATGTGTCAGCCTTACTTAGATTAAAACGAGAAGCGACCAACAGCAGCCAGTGCGGTGCAAGCGCAGGGCGTCCTGTTTTCTCCGCGGGCACTGTGGTCGCGGAGGCTGCCCAGACCCTCCAGCCCCCTCGACTTGCTGGCCAGGGGAGGGTGCATTCCACAGGGCTGCTCCCTTCTCAGTCTCCGCTGGCCGGCGGCCGGCTTGCAGCTCTGCAGCCTCTGAGCGAGCCTCCGGCCTCCCGTGCCCGTGCGCTCGCCCCCATTGCTCCGGGACTGAGATGGGAGCATGCTTTCTCCCTGGCGCGCTCTTTGGGGGGGCGGGGGCATTGATCATTCAGGGCTTTAAGCCCCACTGCGCTGGGTCTCTGTGCTTCAGCCACAAGGGACTCCCCTGACAGCATGGCTGTTACGCAGGTGCTCTTACATGTCCCCGAAGGACGTTAGTTCATGGAGCCGCTGCTGCACCGGCCAGATGTTTCGCCCATCCAGAATGTTCGGCTGGCACCCGCTGTTCACCGTGAGAGCTCAGTGGAAGAAAGGTGAGTGGCCAAAAGGTGTGGAGCTGCTTCGCAGAGAGCCTGCCGTTCCGAAAGAGCCACGAGGGTTCTTGCCAGCACGTCGGACTGCAGCAGAAGTGGGAGGTAAAAGTTGGAATTTGAGGCCGTGCATGTGACCTTCTTGGAAGAATGTTAAGGTGTTAAGGCATCTTAGCAAATTAAGGGCTGAAAGTTTTTTGGGTTTGAGTCATACCAGGAACTACAGGACACTTATTCTGGGGGGAACTGGCTTGAATCCTGGGTCATCTGAAGCCCCCTCGCTTCTTTTGAGAAGGTGGCAGTCCTTCTGTGGTTTCTAAGCCACAAAACTTGTGGCCTTCCCATGATCTTCTGGGCCAGGCAGGTGTGTTTTGCACAAGTCCAAGGGCCTGTGCGGTGTGGCCAGGTACGTGTCGGCCTGGGGCCTGGGAGCGCTTCATCTCCACTCGGCCATGGAGCTCACGGGTGGCTTGGGGCCAGCCACTCCCTTGCAGCCTCGCACACCTCCTGTGGGAATAGTAAGGAGCCATGCAAGCTACCTTGGACTTTGACCCCACAGCTTTCCCCTGTCAAAGTCAAGATCAGTGAATGTGCTTCTGGGACCCTTTAAGCCTCTGCTCGCTTTTTGTGTTGCTGTTCTGTGCCGCCATGTCATCTCTGACCTGTGGGACCCTTCAGAGCGTCCCATCTAGGGCAGCCCCACTCAGCTCTCCCAAGTCCATGCCTGGGGCTTCCTTGATGGAGCCCACCCAGCTCAGAGTCGGCCTGCCTTTACTTCTTCGGCCTTCAACCTGCCCTAGCATGGTGGTCTTCTCGGGGGGCTCGCCTTCTCATGGGCAGCCTCAGTTTGGCCATTTTTGCTTCCAGGGGGAGCTCTGGCTTGATTTGACCCAGGACCCCCCTGCTCGTCTTTCTGTCAGTCCAGGGTATTCAGCCTGGCCATCAGGACAGGCCTGTCGTTTGAAAGGTAGCCCTCAAGCTTGTGGATCTGGGAACAAGTTACCTTTTTGAAACAAGTCACCAAGTTAAGAAAGGGTTAGAAAAATAAAATAGGGATGGACGGAACCCTTCCTTCATAGTGGTCCTATCTAAAATTGAGGGAAATGTGATGTTTCCAATCATGTGCTTCCCTCATAGTGCAAATGCAGGTTGGGGGGCACGAGTGGGGGAGATTCGGAGGTCCGGCCCATCAATACCCCCCCATGTGTTAACTTGCAGTGTAATTTTAAGTGGATTTTTGCCCCAGGTAAGCGAAGAACCAGAAGCTGTGGGATAATGGGAGCAGGGAGCATTATAGGAGAAAAGCAAGCACCTTTTAGTCTGTTCTAGAGAGCTTTTGCTTGTTATTCTGAGAACTGTGAAGTGACTTGTTTAAGGGTCATTGCTGGGTAGCTAAATGACACTTTCACCAGGTTGATCAGGCTGCTTCCTGGGACTTCACAGAGGCAGAGAGGAGGGCTATCCCAAGGCTAAAGCTGTGTTCCCAAAGACCGTAAGATGGACTAGCAGGTGAGGCCAGCCCAAACCCAACAGGAAGAGGCAGGAGACACCATTGAGTGGAGGCCAAGTACCGTTCATAGTTACAAAAATGCAATCCATGCTGGTCAGGCCATGGTACAAAATGAGGGCCAAAAACAGAAAGAAAGGTTCAAGAAAAGCAATAAAGAAGGGGGAGGACAGTGAGGAGGAGAATCAACCAGTTCTTCCACCACGGAATTAATGAATGTAAGCACAGTTTAGAATTCCAAGTTGTAGTGTTAATTGTTGCATGACCTACCCATTGAGGAAAGACAAAGGGGAGGCCAATTGTTAGCTGAGCTGTAGTGCTGTCATCAGACTTTCCCCATTAAAGCAAGTGCTTTAGCATCCAGGGTATGCAAGCTGGGAGAGGAGAAGAGAAGCTTTTGCCTTCAACATTTCCTTATGAATGGAAGGACAAAAAGGGCCATGGCTGGTTAACATTCCTGCAAGACTAGTGTGGGGTTGTGCCCAGCAAAGGGACACCACAAATCAGGTACCCTCGGGGCAGCTTTATGCATGCAGAGATTTTTTTGTCTAAGCAACCCCCAGGGTGCCCCAGCCAGCCAAGATAGTTTAGCACTTGGTCTAAATAGGCATATGACTTTACCCCTGATCAATGAAACTGCATTTAATTTTATTTATTTTAAAACAGTTTTGGTGGCAGTCCCAAACTGGAATACCAACCGCCCCCCATCTGACAATAGCTCAGACAATAAACATGAGAAGAGAATCCACAGTCCCAAAAGATGCGTGACCAAATGCCAACCAGCTAAAAGAAAAGGCAAAATAGATCAGTCTTCTAGCCCCTTCTCTGGCAAGCGAGAAGACTTAACTCTGCAGCTTGGCCAATGTGGGGTGCCGTGCGAAGTGGGGTGCGGTGCCAGTTTGGACAGGCAATTGGGCTTTTTCCAAGACATTTTCTCTGTGAGGGAATGATCTTAAAGGGGCGCTTCAGCATCATGTGAAAGGGCATTCCAATTTCCCCTTTAAATGATTAAATAAATGCATTTATTTAAACAAAGGAATGTGATGAAACGTGTTATAACAGTAAATGGCCACAATTCAAAGGCACTTGGCATATAGCATTTAACTTAAAATGTCCAGAACTCCAGAAGATTATTTTTCAAAGGAAATTCTGCCTTGTATAAATCTGGCATTCCCCCCCCCCCCCGGAAATGGAGAGCCGCATGGCAGAGATCAGGTGGGGCTATTCTCATGCAGAGCTCTCTTCAGCTGCCTTACACATTTGTGTCCTCAGTGCAGGGGCGCAATTATTTCCAGAATATTTGCATCCAGAGTGGTAAGAGTTGCAGCTGCTGACAGAAGGTTTTTGCACCATGGGACAGAAGTGATGGGCAACTGCCGGTGAAGATGCGCCCTCCCGGATCATCCTTAATGGGAACCATGCAAAGCTTTTTCTCCTCTTCCAGGGTCTTCTTTACCCCGGGGTGCACGTGAATCTCCTTAAGGAACTGGTCTAATTAAGCCAGTGGCACATAGGCACAGCTTTTCCTCAAAGCAAGATGGCAAATCCTAAATCAGAGAGTCTGGAGATCATGTGCAGCCTCCAGTTCTGTGTTTTGTTTTCCCCAGGCGGGGACAGGCAGCATTAAAAGGCACTTTGGTGGTGGTACACCTGGATTCAGGAGAGCTGATGGAGTCTTCTCGAGAGCTTTAGACGATGCCTCGCCCTCCCCTCCAGCCCTCCGTTGATTCCCTGATGTCGCGGGGCAGGCTCGGCCTCCTCACTGCCATTCCTCTCTGACCCAGGGGTCTGGTGGGGCTCCCACCCTGGCGTGGGCCTAGGGCCAGACCTCCCTGTGGGCCTTCCATGTTCAGGGTGCAGCGAGACCAAGCCAGCCTCGGCCAAAGGGGATGCGGCTTGGCTCGGCTCCTCCGTTCCGCCAGGTGGAGTGAGCAGAGCAGAAGTGGCACTTCTCCAGTGGAGAAGTGGAAAGGACGGCACAAGCTCCACCTGCCCTGCCTCCTTTGCCAGCTGTGGGGCGGAAGCCAGTCGGGCACAGGCAGGCATTCAGCTTGCCTGCTCCTGGTGGGGCTGTGTGAGGAATCCATCGGGTGGGACTCTGCCAGTTGCCCTGGCTCGGCCCCCCAGACTCTGGCCCGAGCAGCCACTGGGTGGGTGCTGAAGAAAGGCCTGCTTGAGAGGGCTGGCCTGGAGAGCAGCCTGCATCTGCAGGGCAGGCAGTGCCTCCTCCCATGCTAACCGTGGTGGCTGAAGGATGCCGGTCGTCCTGCGGGCGTTTGTGGGCTCCCTCTTGGCTCAGCCTGCTTGGCAAGGCCAAGCTGAGCACGGGGGGAGGTCAGGTGTGTGGATGGGTGGGTCCCAATCGGCCTCCTCCCAGCCCTGGTCTTGGCTGTGGTGCTGATGGACAGAAAAGCAGGTGCACAGCCCTACTGTTGTCGTCGATCTGGTTTGAGGAAAGGGGGGCGAACTGGGGGTGATTAAGCTTGCCAAGGCTCTGCAAACACCACCTTGAAGCTCAGCTTGTGTTCCTTCCATTTTCATTTGTGACCAGATTTTGTTTGTTTGAATGAGCAAGGTGCAAATAGCCTTGCACAGGTGTTTAAGGTGCATGCTTTCTCCCCACTCTACAGCGCACGTTTTTGCAAAAATATACATTCTGCCAACACAGTCCCAAATCTGGCAGTATGTGTGAGTTCACAGTGGTGAATTGGGAAACTTCTGATTATTGGCAAATGGAAACAAAACCCACACGCATTCCTCTGCCTGAGCCGTTCCCCCTTTTTGTAAATGTAGAACCAGAGCAGAGAGCCAGGGGGTGATCCGCGCAGATCACAGTTTCCCAGCTATTTGTCACCTGCCAGGACCTGAAGCATTCTGGGTGCCCACTGTTCCGAAGCCGGCTTTGACAGCACAGCAGGGACGGCCAGCAGCAGGGGGACCTGGAGCATGTCCGCATGCAGCCGTGCACTCCGAAGTGGTCACACATTGCCGTGCTCTCTAACCCACAGGTCACAGGGAGCCCTGGGCCTCCCGCTTCTGGTTCCAGGGCTCTCCAGGGCTGCCGGAGGCCCCCACTTCTGCAGGGCTGCTGTCCGTCCCTCAGGGACTCGGGGACTGTCTGCCTTCGTGAGTGCACATGGGGCTCTGGAATGGGAACAGAGCAGAGTGAGGGGAGCAGGGCTGCTTGGGCGGCTGTGTGAAAGCGAGCCTTCTACCGGGCGGTGGATAGGAGCACGTCCCCGGATGGAGGGGCAGAAGGAACGCACCACTTTCTTGAATCACCTGAAACTGGAGTCCCCAGAGTCTTTCTCTGGAGTGGCAGCACTGCATTGAGCCACCGTCGTGAAGTTCCTGAGCACTGGCTAAGAGCGCCCTCGCCCCTGCTTGGAGGAGGGCGTTGCGCTCCTTTTCCAGGGCGCTGAACGGCCTCTCCCGTCAGAGGGAAGTGCGAAAACCCCTGCTTCTGTGAGCACAGCCAAGCCCCGTGTGCGTGATGGTGGCACATGGTGCTGAAGCTGGTTGCTTGGTGCTGATGCCCAACCCACGCGTGGCTTTTCCTGGGGAGGAGTGCGCACTCTGCCTGTTTGTGCCCGTCTCCACGCCCGCCAGCCCCCGTCTCCCCTCTTCCAGACTGCCTTGTAAACCCAAGACCTGCATTCTCCCCTGCAAAGCGCCACCTGTGCCGAAGCTGCCGCAGGAGCATTTAGGGGGCCTCTCAAATATCCAGGCGAGCCGCTTGCTTGCCCAGCATGGCGCAAGAGGCCACTGGCATGAGGCTCGCCACAGCATCCACGTTTCACAGGAAAATGCTCACGGGCTGCATGCATAAGCGGGGTGTGCAGCTAACACAGAGCAGTCTGTTTATTTTAGGGGCATGTGGATGAACGAGATATAACACAGCAGGAAGCCGCCCCCTCTGCCGCCCCCTCAGCCCCCAAGTGAGGAGCCAGGCAGCTGCCTCCAGCAAGGTCGGAGCCTTGCTCCCAGGGGTGCCTGATTACCCACTTCCGTTTCCCAGGGCACAAGTCATCAGAGAAGTGGAAATGTCCATTGTTTCAGAGAGGAAATGACTATTTTCTTGGAGAGGGTGGAAAACACAGATGTCATCGTTTGTTTAAAGTAAGGTCCCCCTCTTTCTCTCACTGTGGTTGAATGTTCTTGTGCGCAGGGAAGGAAAGGACAGATGCGCTGTTCCCGGAAAGAGAGGGTGGGGAACAAGCGGCCCAAATTAACCCCGGTCAGGAAGGAAGTGGAAGGCCTGGGAAGGGGAGAGGCGTGCACATCCCCCGCCCGGCTCTGGATCAGCCATCTTGTCCTGGAGCCATTGCAGCCCCCTGGCCACTGTCGCAGGCAGTACGGTGTGCGATGCATTGCAATTGCACGTTGCCTTGGGAGATCACCAGAGCTTGGGCGACTCTTGCACGGCCGGCAGCCTGAATGAGTGAAAGGGCTCCAAGCCTCTCGGGCCATCCCTGCCCTACCAGGCATCCTGGATGCAAGAGCATCCCTGCCTCTGAACCCTTTGGCAGCTGCCCAGGGCCCCTCCCCACTGCTGCCACCTTTGCCACCGAGATCCTGCTGGGGAACCAAGCTGTGATGTGGCTCAAAAACCAGGTGTGCAGGCGGCGCACCCCTGTTCAGGGGCACGAGTATGTCCCCAGGAGGCTTCCTGGAGCAGGACTCTGCTTGGGCACCTTGTCATCAAGGAAAATTGCACAGGTTGGCACTGCATGCCTTGAGCTGGGAAAGCACCTCCTTCTGTTTATTTGCAACATTCCAAGAAGTCACTTTAAACATGAAACAGTGGTAAATATATTGTTTGCCTTTGTGCACATACAAATCTTATCTTCCTATTCCTTCTAAAGCTACCTGTTTCTAAATAAATTGAAGTATAAGCCAGAGCTATAATGCATTTCAAACAACCTCTATACTGTCCTTCACCCTTACTGTGAAAAAGAGTCCCACAAACTGGGAAAAGAAAAAAAGAAAAATGAAAATGAGTCTAAACAAAAAATCAATTCTCTACAAGAATAATAATAATTTTAAAAAATTGGCTCCAGGCAAGATAATAGAGCAGTGCTTTGCACCCAGCCCCTATCAGATCATCAATTTTATCACTAAATATGAAGGCCTAACCTAGAATCTAATAAAGCAGAATGCAAAATTAAAAGAGAGAAAAATTAAATCAGGTCATAACAAAGCAAAAGAGAAAGTGGCAAAATGCCCAGAACTTTTATCTACTGAAACGGGGTCAATCTGGCTGGTGGCCCAGAGTTTTCCAGGATGTCCAGAGCTCCAGAAAAATTAGACCAGAGCAGTAGAGGCCGCCAGATCAGGAACTGTCTTTGGAGTGGGACAGGAGGTCTGGACACCCATCAGAAAGACTCTGCACCTTCTGGAGACAGAAACTTCATCAATTCACCTTGAAACTCAACTGTGTGGGTGGGTGAGAATTAGACGTAGGGAGGACTCACCACCATAGGCACGACCTTTTGTGCTTTCCACAGCGTGCGCTTCTTTAGGGAATGTCTTTGGAGCGATCTGGATACCACACCGTGTATTGTTTTCTTGGCCACAGAGGCAGCCAAGTGGGGAGCAAAGAGAGCAGGTTTCACTTGCTCTCCCCATGTAGCACCTGGAATGCAAGGGGCATATTTTTTGTCAAGATGAAAATCTTGCTGTGTTTTCAAAACCGGCCTCACAGCCAAATCTGTGTGTTCATCAACCAAACCTCTGGGGGCTGCTCATGCAGGGGAAGGGCCTTCAAGCTGGCTCATCATGCAGAGGCCTCCAGAGGCGAGGCATGAGCCAAGATGGCCCTCTGGGAAGCAGACGTTGCTGGCCCAGGTGCCATAGCTCTGTCTCCCAAAGGTGGGGCGCTTCTTTCCATCATCCCAGACAACCATCAATCGAGTCCACAGTGTTTGGGATTCCTGCACTGTTTTGATTGAGCTGTGGAGCAGTCCCAACTTCTTAGCCGGCTGAGACGTCCCCAGTGCTGTATTATTCAGCGCAGCAATGAGCTCATCTTCACCCACCTGCCTCTGGCTCAGAGCTCCAGGCAGGGGGCGGCTGTGGTGGCGCTCTGGTGCCTTCCTTGGTTTCAGAAGCAGCCGGGATCAAACACTCTTCAACTGTTCCAGAATAAACAAGATCTCACTAGCAGCAAACAGCTGCCGCAATAAAACAAACAATAGCACTGTGGGATGGCCGGGATGCAACTGCATCGCCAGGGAGCTGCCCTGGAGCTTCTGTGGGTTCTCCCTGCTTACTTGCACCATTGCGATGCATTCTTAGGTGCAGGTGATTGTAAAATGAGGTTGGGGGGCGGATTATAAGCATGGAAATAGTCCGAAGAATGTTTTTTCAATTCCCCATGCCTGATGCCTTCGGCATGGTTGCTTTTTCATCATTATGTTAGGCTGCTGCCGTCCTATTATCATCTCCGTCTTTGTTCTGTGTGGAGATGATTCCTAGAAACTGCTGGATTGGGAAACAGCTGTTTCCTAAAACCACTTTGTCTGTAAGCAGCTTGATTTGGAGCAGTCCAGTATGAAAAGCAAAGGTCTATTTCGTGCAGGGGTTTTGATTTTAAGATGATCCCTAATCTCTGACGGGGGACACAGTATCCCTCTCTAAGTCCCTCAAAGGCTGTCACAAAGAGGAAGGTCAAGATCTCCTCTTGCTGATGCCGGAGTGTGGGACATGGGATAATCAAGTCAAGTGACAACAGCCCAGGTTCAGACTGGACATCAGGAGAAGCTTCCTCACTGCCAGAGCAACACAGCAGTGGAACCAGCTGCCCAGAGAGGTGGTGGGCTCTCCCACACTAGAGGCATTCAGAAAGAAACTGGGCAGCACTCTGAGTGGGGTGGTGTAAACTGGTGTCCTGCACCAGCAGGGGGTTGGGCCCGATGGCCTTCATGGCCCCTTCCAACTCTACTCTTCTATGATTCTTTGATATCCATGTTTTTACCTCCAAGGAGCCCAAGATGCTCTGCATGACTCTACACCTCCCCTATTTTAGGCCAGCAGGGGGTTGGTCCCGATGGCCTTCTTGGCCCCTTCCAACTCTACTCTTCCAATGATTCTATGGCCATTTGGAATGAGGCAATGCCTGGTCTGTCCTTTTCGGAGGCCCTGCTGTTGCCTCAGCCCACTAGGCGATGCACAGGCAGGGACTCTGGAGCATGGGAGGGCATTCTGCACCTGTGACATGACCCACCCTCATCCTACCTGCCGCAATTTGAAAGGAGCGTTCCTTGCTTTGCCCCTCGCTCATCTAGACTGGTTGGAGAGAAGGTTGCGCACAGGCAAACTTGCCTTCCCTCTGAACATGCGTGACCAGCCCTACATGAGTAGGACACTTGGCAGGCCTGTTCACAAGAGATGGTGCCAAATGTTCAGGGATCCAGGCTTTCCGTTGTTCCTGACTGTCCTCTCTTTCCTATTTACTAGGCGAAAAGATCCCACCCTTGGATAGCAGCGTGGTTCTGACAAATGTGAAGACAATAAACAGTGAAAAAAGTATAGACCAAGGACTAATCCCGTACCCCCCTGCCATGCCCGACTCTTCGGAGGATCCCGGAGCCCCCAAACCAAGCAACCTTCCAGAGCATCAAGCCAGCTCACCTGTCCCAGGTGCCGCTCCATTGAGAGCAGAGCACCTGGTCTCCCTCTCTGGCCTCCACAGCTTGACAGTGAAGGGCCAGAATCCCCGGCTGGCCAGGTGTGAGCCCGAAGGTGTGTGTGCAGAGCGCCCTGGTGGAGCCAGCTCTCAGCGAGCCCCGAAAGTCTCTGGGCAGAGCTTCGTGCTTCACAGCAGGGGCTCCTCCTGTGATTCCGGAGTGCTCAGTTCCTCTTCCTCTCCGGTGGCCGAGCACAGCATGAGAATGTGCAAAGACATTGCGGGCAGTGACCTGCACAGCTCCTCTCGCGAGCAGCCAGTCCAGTGCCTCACGGGGCAGCCGAGTGCTCTGCGGGATTCCCTGGAGGAAGACGCTGGGTGTCCGGAGAGCAAGAATCCTGACCCATCTTTTTTCGGCGGCGCCCGAGGAAGATGCTCAGAAGGAAAAACCGGAGGAGCGGTCCCGGCATCCCTCCTCCCTGCAGAAGAGCAAAAGCCCAGCGGCGAGGACGGCGGTGGCCGTCTGGAGGAGCTGCCGCTGCCGGGGCATCCCTTACGGAAGCACCCCACGAGCGACAGTCTGGATGCGTACATGGACGAGTGCTGCCGGCTGAGCCAGGCAAGGATTCGCTAGGCTTCCTCTGCCAGCACTGTGGACAGAGGGACGAAAGTGGGGTTGGATGTGGCCACGCTTGCAAACTAGCAAGAACAAGCTAGCTCGAATTTGGTGTGCCGTGCCCGTATAAACAGGGGAGGGGGGTTATACTAGCATAAATATAGGATGATGCGTGTTGTAAGCTGGCCAGAGAGCCTATGGCTTGTGGGGAGGCATGTAAGTTGAATCCACCCATCCATCAATATGATGCTGTGCTCATGAAGCAGGTAAGTACAAAAAACTTGTTTCAAAATGGAAGGCCCCTGACACAGGACAAAATGTTGGAGAGGTTCCAAGGAGAGCAAACAAGCGTATCTAACAGTTCATAGAACTATAGAATCACAGAATCATAGAACAGTAGAGTTGGAATCATGTTGTGAAAAGTGGTCTCTGTTTGTGTTTTATTATATCCTATTAATTAACCATTTCTATTGAGGGTTCCCTTCATGAAGGCAACAGTATGATTCATAGAATCCTAGAATTACAGTAGAGTTGGAAGGGGCCACGAAGGTCATCATGTCCAGTCCCCTGCTGGTGCAGGTCACCAAGTCACACCATCCCACTCAGATGGCTGTCCAGTTTTTGGGTTTTTTTAATGTCTCCAGTGTGGGAGAGCCCACGACCAATCTAGGCAACTGGTCCCACTGTCGCATTGCTCTAACAGGGAGGAAGCTTTTCCTGATGTCCAGCCTGAATCTGGGTAGTTGCAACTTAAATTGATTATTCCACGTCCTACACTCTGGTACCAGCAAGAGGAGACTTTGACCTTGTTTTGCAATGAACGGCTTGTGAGGCGCCTGCTGCACAGCCAATTAATGGAGGAATGTGCCCAGGACAGGTTGTAACATTTTCTGGAAGCAATGCTTTGCACCTAAAGCATGCAACTCCTTGGATTTTTTCCCCATTGTAGGTGAACCAAGGAAATGCCAAGAAGCGCAGCTCCGGCCTGGGTTATCTGGAGCACATCTGCCAACTCATTGAGAAAATTGGACAGCTGCAAGAGCACAATCTGAAATTGCAGAAGGAAATTGGCAGCTTGCAGAAGGTGCACAAAACCAGCCAGCTAAATGAGGCAAGAAAGGGTCTCTTATCTGCTCATTTTAACTTGCCTTCCATTACTGGGCAACTCTCCTTTCCCCACTTTTTCCTGTCTTCTCTGTCTTGGTGTAGTATTTAGCTTTGGACAAGTAAGTCCCTGGCCAGAAGCTGAAAGGGCACAAGAGACAGGAGGGAGGAAAATGGAACAGAACAAAGAGAAAACAGGCTGGAGGGTTTTTGTTCAGCATTCAGCAAACCAGTGGCTGGGCAAATGCCCTGTCCGTGTTCTTATCTGATTTCCAAATGTTGGAATTGACTTTTATCCTGGGATGGAATTGATATTTACTGGTCCTGTAACTGGGCTTGAGATAAAGCTGGCCCATCGCTCTCCTTTGTGCAACGGTTGCAAACTCTGACAAGTTCCGAGTGAGTCACCGGCATCTCTCCTTTTGCACCTGCAGGAGTACTTTCTGCAGCAGTGCTCCTGCGGGGCTGCCAGCATGTTGCTCAGCTCATCCCAAGAGCTGAAGAATCCCCTTCCCGGGTGGAGAAGACCATGCAGCTTATTGGTCCAGAACGGAAACGTGTCTGACCTCTCAATTATTCCAGAAATAGGCAGAAGAAATGAACAATCAAGGGAAGGTGGGTGTCTGTCTTTTGGATCACAACCTTAATTTTAAGGTGCTTTTCTTATGGCCTTAGTCTTCCCTGGGCACCTGCACAGTCACAGCAGCCAGGTTTGCATGACCAGATCGGCAACGGCAGCTTTTTAGGCAAATTGGATGTGTTATCTGAACCGTGTTCTGGTATTTCAGTACGGTATTCTTACTTTTGAGAAACCACAGACAGAAACAATGCTCTGCTCTTTGGTTTCCTGGTGCCATGATTTCTTATTGTGTCCTCTGAACCAGGAAACAGCACTCATCATGGTACCAAAGCCAGCACCATAGAGCATTTGGCAAGAGCGGCTCATTGCCACTCTTGCCCAGCCGCTAACAAGAGAGCGCCATGGACGGCTGCCATTTGGCACAACCACCTGTTCCAGGCCTCCCGGGGCGGGAGTGAGCGAGTGGCCCGAGTGCTCCTTCACTCCCTGGAGACCACCCTGACCGCTTTACCCAGCTCTCCGAAATAATTCTTTTCTAAGATCAGCATGTGCCCTGGCCTTGCTCACTGAGGACCAACACACCAGGGGCATCCTCTAGTCCAGTGTGCACGCACGCTATTTTTCTTCCTTCCCATTTGACAAAAAGAGAAGCAGAACAAAAAGCAAACCCGGAAGATTGTGCCAGGAATTTCATTTTCTAAGGCGCGACAATGAGAACGGAGGGTGTGCTCGGAGACACATTTTGTTCTGCCTTCGCCCTGCCCTGTTCACAGAATTTTACGGGAGGATCAGATGACCCCAGGCTCCCTCCCCCGCTGCCCACCACTTCTTCCATCTCCCCTCTTTCCAGGAAACCCCTGAGGTGGGCAAAAAGACGGAACAGCTGCACAATGTCTTTTGAGGATCTTGTCTAGCTGTCTTCTGCCCGGAAACACCTGTGAGGTGCACTCAATACGTTCTCTCCTTGCAGGAGGGAGCGTCCACCAGAATCAAGAAAATAACCAGCTGATAATTGAGTTGAAGTTGTCAAATGTAAGGAAAACCGGAGAGAAGGAGTGGAGAGAAGGGTGCAGTGTGAGCGATGGCCCGTCTTACTTGTCCAAGGAGCTCGCTCTGAAAAGGGTGAGTGATCTACAGCGCTCATGAACTGGTCACTTTATGAGATGGAAGTGGATTATGGACAACGGAAGTTTATGCTGTGATTTGTTTGTTAAGGAGCTCGCAGGAAACGGGTCCTGATCCAGACCACCAAGTTCCAATATGAGCCACTTTTCTTTCGAAACGAGTTGCTGCTTTAAGCGCAGTTTACAAACAGCAGCAACACAAACATAACACACCGTGTAATTTTGCCCTCTTCCTATATAACAACGGAGTCATGATCCAGAGGGGGATGATAAAGCAAAATAGGAAGCAGAGGTGAGGAAAGGAGGAGTGAGGGGAAGAGAAAATATTTAGACACTGTCAAGTTTAAAGCAAGGTTCCTTTGAACTCTTCCGGATTAGACCCACGAAGTTCTTGCTCTCCTCTCCTTGCTCCCCTCCTGCCAGAGGCTGGACTTCAGCACAGCAAAACAGCCATCAATACGGCCCCCTCCCGATGCTTCCTGTTTCTGCAGCCAAGGCCGCCACCTTCCCACAGTCTTGCCTCTTGCATTGAAGTTTCTATAATCAGCTGCTACAGCCAGTATTTTTCATTTCTCATTATGTAACCAGAACATTCTTGCTTCCTGCTTGTTATGTGTTTTATAAGACGTGTGGATCTTAATACGTTTGCTTTAATTCCTCTTTGATGGCCACCCCTCATTCCCTGAAATTACTAGGCATCCTGCAATCTGGCATCTGGCACCCCCTAGAAGGAGCTCAGTGTGGCATGAAGCTGGGAGCTTGGCTCTGGGAGGAGCGGCCACCCTTTCTCAGCCCAAAGGGTGGGCGGCTTCCTTCAACAGGCCCCTTCACCGGCCGCACGAATCCCAGGATGTGGCCAGTGCCGGGAGGAGTAGCAGTTCCTCCAGGGCCCCCAGGTCTCTGTCTCTGTGCGAGGGAGGCATGGATCTCCAGGCTTGGAGAAAGGCAAGATGCCCAAGGGCCCATGGAGACCCTGGACGAGCAATTTGCCGCCCACCCAAATCCAGTTCTGTCCTGCTGGTGCACTTAGGCCCCACGGAGGGAGACAGGGTAACGATCAAAACATTCCTGTTCATGCGGTTCTTTTTATTATCCTGTTCCACTGAAATCACGTGCAACACTGTAACGTCCCTCTTTCAGATGTTTGCCCTGCTGTGTTTTTCCATAGTTCACTGCAAACCCTCACTGATTACTCATTTTCGGTTCACTGTAACAGACGGCTTAATGGACAGAGTGCCCTAAATTAGCTCAAAATAACCATGAAGACATTGTTCTGAATCTCCCACCTTTTGCAAAGGGTAACAACTAGCTTTCAGCCATAGACCTTGTCTGTGTCCGTCCCCTGGAAAGCCAGAGAAACAAATGTGAGCTTGGAAAGCTTTTCCCTGTCTGCTCCCATTGCACTGCCTTGTCTGTGCACCCCCTCATTCTGCAGCATGAAAACCGGGCCTGGGGAAGTATGAGAGACCTTCTGAGGAAGACCCGGGGAAAGAATGAGAGCAGGCCGGGCTTGCCGTCGGCTGCCTTGGAAAGATCGTGCCCTCAGCTGTATCGGTAAGCCTCCTGGATTCCAAAGGTTCACAGGAGCTGTTGTTGGGGCCAAAGTGTCTTGGGGACCTTTTGCGGACTTTAGTATATTTGTTGCATTGTTGAGGGCCAGTGTGGTTTAGTAACTTAGATGGACTTAGGAGACCAATATGAAATCCATCAGAGCCTTGAATGATTTGCAAGCTCCATCTTGGTTAGATCACGAATAAAACTGGTGTGAGGGCTGAGTTCAGCCGACCCATGTTTGAGAGCCCACAGACAAGAGCTAAGCACAGGATGAGGGCAGGTTGTTGAACTGCACCTTGTTGCTGAGGTGTGATGTGCCATGCTGTCTGAACCCGGCTGAGCTAACAAGCCATGGCCTGTTGATCATGGACAACCCATGAGGAGAACTTGTGGTCTGTGGCTGGCTTCTGAATTGTCTGCCGTCTTGGCTGGGTTCAGACAACACAACAACCGGTGCTTCGACCAGGTCACTTGGTTCCATGCCAGCCCGTGCTCAACCCACACTCAGGTCAAGTGTGTTTCTTGTGTTTTCTGAACCTAGCCATTAACCTCGCATGTAGCGGAGGAGATGAATAAGGTAAGGTTTATTAATGCTGATGATGATTGTCATGACAATCGCGACTGAATGGTTGGGTGCTGTAACCAAGAGGCCGAGTTCTCTTGTTTTCCATGGGGGACCCTGGGGGCGGGGTGATTTTTTACAGAGAGGGGGAGGAGGTGCTGATGTGTTGTGAACTCCCCACAGTGTTTGTTTAGCTGGAAAAACTGCCAGCCCTCGGGGTCCTTCCGGAAATGACTGCATGTGTCTTTTTAGTTTCTGGTGGGGTTAACCGCTGTGCAAGAATTTGCTATGACTGAACAGTATTGTGTACCTCTAAATAATCAATAGCAAATATTGTTTGGACAGCTGAAACAGATGCAAAGATGGAGTGATGTGAGCAAAATCATCAGGGGTCGGATAAACAAATGTGAATATTTGCTGAAATTTGGACCTGGGCCCCTGTTCAGCTCTGTGTTTGGAAAACAGCTCCGCATCCCTGCGGAGCCCCACATGGCTGTGCGCTGAGCACTGCGGGGGGGGGGGTGGCAGAACCCCAATCTTCAGCGAGAGGCCAGCCCGCTCGCTGGCATGACTCGGCCCCTTCTCACCAGCGCAGGGGCAAGGTGTTCAGCGGGACCAGTGGCCAGCCGCGAGCTATTCCACTCCACTGGCGAAGATCTGCACGAGTGGAGGTCCATTCTGGCGGCAGCGGGCTTTTCCCTTTCTCCTCTGAGTCCTCCAGCCCTCTGGAGCAATTTGAAGTGTGTGGGGGCTGTAAGGAGATGGGGGAGTCACCCCTTCCCGCTTTTGCTCTTGGAAACAGCTCTCTCTGTCAATGGGATTGTGCCATTGGAGCCTCCCTTTGGCATTTGGCTCCTTTACATGGAGATGATGGAGATGGAGATGGCTATGTGTGTGCGGGTGGGTGGGTGGGTGTGTGGGGCGGGGGGGGAGAGAGCGCTTGCGAATTTCAGAAGGCCATAACAAAACCAGAAATGATAAAACATAAACAAGAAAAATATTTTAGGTGCAACAATTGTAATAAATGCATATGAAATGTATATATCTATGTATTTCTTGTATGTAAGGAAATGCGCTACTGTCGGTACTCGTGCCATCGACAGGCTTCAGCATGGACATTTGGACACTCCGTGTTGGAACCCCCTAAATCCCACTCATGCAAATGCTGGAAGAGCCGCCAGGGCCTCCCGCTATCACTTTATACGGGTGGCCATTTGTCCTCCCAGCGCTTGTTTCCTCCCATTTCTGCTCTGGTGTCCCAAAATGAGCCCAGGGGCTTTTGCAGCCATGTCTGTCACAACGGTGCCACCAACGATTTGAGAGCGTCGGTTTTGCAGTCTTAGCATAGAAATGGTGGAATGCAGCGGATAGCTGTGCCTCTTGTAAAATCACATTAAGCAGCATGCAGAAACTGCAGCCATAGATATTGATTGCCAATTTTATGCATCTGTTCAGGCCTGACAGTGTGTGTGTGAACTTGGGCAAAGCAGAGAGAAACTCCATGATCGCTCTGAGACAAAGCTCAGGGCATGAAAGCGACTGGCCTTCCTGACTGCAAAGAGGTAAGGGGCATTTCTCCACTGTGCGGCAGTGACAATGCACCTGGCCCGCTTTCACCTTTGCCCCCAGCCGAAGTGGGGAGGAGGAACTGAGCGGGCAGGTCAAGCGAGTGGCCCTAGCTGTGACTTAACTTTAGGTACAAAAGTAGTATCGGGACTATTTTGTTCACAGGTTCCCAAAATTCATCGGGCAGTGGTATCTAAACTATCAACTGGAGCAAAATGTGTTATTGTAAAGAACTTGGAAAATGCCAAGTTGATCACAAGAGTAGATGACTAAAATGCAACTGTTAAAAATAAGTGAGCCCGAGAGATGGCAAACGAATTTCTAAACGTGCTCATTAATGAAATCCATTCTTTCAGTACATGAAATCTAATTCTGTTGTGAAAAATAGTATCTATTTGTGCTTTATTATATCGTAGTAATTAACCATTTCTTTTAAGGGTTCTCCTCATGAAGGGAACAGCATGATTCATAGAATCCTAGAATAGCAGGGTTGGAAGGGGCCATGAAGGCCATCGGGTCCACTCCCTGCTGTTGCAGGACACGAAGTCACACCCTCCCACTCAGGTGGCCCTCCAGTTTCACCTTGAAGGTCTCCGGTGTGGGAGAGCCCCCCACCTCTCCAGGCAGCTGGTCCCACTGTCGTATTGCTCGGACAGTGAGGAAGCTTCTCTTGTTGTCCAGCCTGAATCTGGGTTGTTGCAGCTTGAACTGATTATTCTGTGTCCTGCGCTCTGCTATCAGTGAGAAGAGATCTTGACCTTCCTCTTTGTGACAGCCTTTGAGGTTCTTATAGAGGGATCTCATGTGCCTGCTCAGTCTTCTCTTCTCAAGCCTGAACATGCCCAGTTCTCCCAGTCTCAGAAGAGGGCAGTGTTTCCAAACCCTGGATCATTTTTGTTGCCTTCATCTGGACCCTTTCCAATGTTTCTGCATCTTTCTTAAATCTTAGTGCCCAGAACTGGACACAGTATTCCAGTGTTCAATGTAATTAGTTCTGTTTCATATCTGTTTAATTGGTTTACCATTCCATTTAATCAATTCATCTTTTACTATATACTTATTTAATACAGAAATTAATTAGGTTCAGTTATTCATTTTATATACTGTAGTAATATAGTAACAGGTAACGTGCCAACATGTATTGCATCCATGTATTGATATACACAGATGACACCTGCTTATGCAATAATTAAAATATTTTGAAATAAACAAAGTTTTGTTTTGGCTTAGTGGAAATGCTGCTAGTGGCAGCAGGTGACTGAGGCCATCAAACACTTTACTAATTACCTTTGTTTATGTTATGTTTCAGAGAGGAGAAAGTTTGAGGTCTGAATGGTGTGAAGTTGGGAACGAATCAGTATGTTGCAGACGGATCTGGTAAACAGAAGCGAAGAGGCCACTCCTGAGAAGCCGGTTGCCTCCCCGGCGCAATGCGTGCACTTAAGGCATTCAAACTTATTTTTCAAGAATGCAGATGTCTACAGAATCTCTGCCGAGATGCTTTTTCAGCAGTTCCAGCCGGATAGCTGTTATCTTATATACTAACAGCCCCCCAGAACCAAAACAAAGGCCTCACCAAGACAAATGGCCCCTTTTTGCGGCCGTCACTAGGTGCACCAACTGCTCTCGACGCAATCGTGCCAGCAGCGTCGCCAAGCATTACAATTAGTCTCTCATTAGTGTCGCAGGGATTGTTCATGTTTAGGAGCAGCGGAAGCAAGACCCCTCTTAGTGTCACGCGCCGGCTCGTTCCTGCACCAAATGTCCAAACCCAGTGACAGGGTGGGCTCTTGCTAGCGAAGGGGTCCATAGACATGCAGAAGGGTTGATCGGGCTGCCGTGTGGGGCGGATGTGGGAGTGGCAGATGGGCTGGGGCAAGGAGGAAAAGGGAAGTGAAATGCCAGGCTTTGCTGCAGGAGAGGAAGAAGGCTGGCTTGTTTTCCTCTTTTTTCTGTTTAAACTATTACCCAAGTGCTTGTGCAGTAGAACAGAGGAGCATGTGCAGGTTGCAGGAAACCGTCTAAGGTTCTTCCATTTCATTCCGATTCAAAGGAAAATTTAGGGGGTGCCGTCCTTAGTCCAACGAGCAAGAACCCGTTTGGAAAATCATGTGACTGCTGGTACGGCGCCTTCTTTCCCCCCGGCCATCACCGCTGGCACTTGCCTACCTTGGGTGCCACTTCCCCCCATGCTTAATAGTCTGGGAGGAATCTCCCAAGGCCGGCTCAGGACCGCGAGAGCGTCACTCTGGCATTCTGGGCAGGGGTAGCCCCGCCCAGCACTGGAGCGCAGCCTCGCAATGCTGCTCCAGATCGACCGTGGCCCTCGGGCTGAGGGGGCTTCCCTCCAGGAGTGCCCGGCGCGCTTCCCACTTCTGTCCCCCCAGGCTTTGGCACTCCTCTTTGCGTTCCTGATGTTTTATCAGCCGACGACCTTGTTTCACTCTGCTTCCCTGAGACCCGCTGGAATCGACGGAGCCGTAACTGTGTGGAGGGCTGCAACCCAGCGTCCCCCCGTGACAAACAACCACACAACCTGGGCACAACCACACAAAATGCCACGGAGCTACGTACTTTCCCCTTTGCGCACTCAACAGTACCAGGTGCAATGAGAGCAGCAGCAGCCACAGCTTGGACTGGCGACACAAGCCCTGTGAGTGGCTTGGAGAGTCAAGCATGGCCGCACGTCGAGGCTGGAGGACGGTTTCCCTGAAGAAAGTGCAAGCAGAGAGCCACCGTAATTTCCAAGGTTTTATTTCTCAAAAAAGCACAGTGGGGAATATGCTTTACAACAAGGCTGCGTCATCTGAATGGTGGCCTTGGTGTGCCTGGGGCTGCCCTGTTCATCCTCTTAAGCGCACGGACGGGGCCACATTATTTTGAGTGCAAGGGCAGGGACAGAAGGGTTAGTGGGTGCTCCTCGGAGTCCTCATGTAACTCTGGTGGAAAGTGGCTTCGAAGCAGAAATGATGTAAAGTTCAGCAAGTCAGTGATATGATCCGATCTCTCAGAAGAGAAAGGCATGTATCCTAGTAGAAGAGTCTCACTACAGGCCGTTCTTTCAGCGTTTTTCCAGTTTTTTGTACTTTGCTTCTGCAGAAGACAAAACACGCAATCATCAGTGCAAGCAAAAGAACTTTCTTTTCCGTTACAAATTCAGGATCTATGTCCAAGCCTTAGTGCTGCCAGCAGACTTGGAATCCCATGCTCTGCAGAAATTACTCGGTTCCCATCATCAGCACACACGACTGCCAGGGATTTAAACCATTCCACTTTCACTCCAACCCAGAAGACAAGGTGTGCACAAAAACAGAATTTTTGCAGAAGGCAAGGCAAGGCAAAACATTGACTACAGGATCCAAAGATCTACTTTATCCAGTTAAAATTTCTTCCTTTAAGTGGCATACCCTTATCTCAGACTATGAGCTCTTTGGAAAAGCTTCCAAAGAGCTGTTCAAGCAACACACATCACAAGCTCCCTTGTTCAGTAGTTCTCTGGATCCGGCATGACAAGTGATATTGTAAGTAGCTACCAAGCTTCTTTGAGTAGGCGTCCAGCTTGTACGCAGCCTGTTCCAGAGCAGCTACTTGCTCTTCAATGAGACTGATTTGTTCCAGGTAGGGCTGAAGTCCAGCGTCTTGAGAAAAACAGAGCGGGATGGGAAGGGGAGGAAAAATAAACACGACCAGTTATTGCCTTGCTAAGGATGAACAACTTCCGCTACCCCTTGGGTTATTTGATTTGAAACAAAGGGGCAAGAATATAGATTTGCATGTTTCTATTCACATAATAGATGAAGCTATTCCTCCTCTATCTTAACATTAGTAATTAAAAATCAGTATCATGCAACCAAGGGGCAAAGAGATAAGTTAAGAATTAGGCTCTTTCAGAACTGTAAAGGATCTCTGTACCAAAATCACTGAATAAACCTACACACAGGTGATGCACACAACTCCAAACACAACGACCAGTGGCTGTGCATCCAGCTGACAGAAAGGGGAATGCAGAACCAGCAGATTGTCAGATGTGAAACGGTTCGACATAAAACATTGGCTTCGGCCACAGTCGAGAGTTTGTGGCAATGCCAATGGCAAACTCAACCAGGTCCAGAGGAACAAGTCCCATCTCAGTCGAAATGAACCATCAGCACCTGTGCAGAATACCCAGAACGGTCACGTCAATGGACACGCCTTATTCCTCTCATCTTCACACTTGTTTTCCGATTCCAACAGATCAGGTGTGCGTCAAAGTGGAGCCAAGCTCTTCAGTAAGGCTACTGCTACCAAGTCTCTCCCACAAATTGTACGGAAACCAGTGCAATCATGCAGTTCACGCTCCACTGAATTATGTAGTGTATATATACTGCACATGGTAACATACTGGATGATCTGCAGTCTACGAAAACCTGTGGGATGAATGACTACCCTCCACTGCTTTTCTTGAACTCATGAGTAGTTACAAAACAGATTAAAATTACATTCCAATCACAGTTGGTCTAGGCTCCCCTGTTGTTTGTGTACAGAAACCTCCTCGTATGGGAAGGCACAGAAATCTGCACAGCCCCATGGATGGGTTCTGCCCCATGACTGCACTGGCCTGTTGCTGCTCTTTAGGGAGCTGGGGAGTTGAGCAGGGGTATGTACAAAAGGCTCGCTTAGCGTTCAGCCTGTTACGGGACAAGATCATAACATCTGGGAGGCGCCAACTGGCCAGGGCAGTGCCTACAGGTCAAATACAGTATAAATGCCCACGCACAGCACAGTATCATTTTAAAAAGTCCATCACAACTAGATGGAACCTTCCTTCCTTCTTTTCTTTCTTCTTTCTTTTTGGTTGTCAGAGTCGCTAGAACCACCTTCCCCATCCTCCACAGGTGCCCTCCACATCTACACGTGGTGGAAGAACCACAACCTCCATCACTGGCCAGGTTAACTAAGCTGATGGGAATGGTGGGCAAGCACACCTGAGTCACCTCACTGGGGAAGGCTATGCTGAAGGAACCTGGCAACGATTCTGCTCGGGCGCACAGTTCCACACCTGAGCCTGCAGCTTCTTCGCATCCTGGCTCCTCCATATAAGCGCATCCTGTGACAGTGCACAGCTCTTAAGCCAGGATTAAAGGATGCATCTGACTCAAGCCTTGCTCTCCTACTTACATTTTTGATTCAAGTCTTTCAGATTCCGACTTATATTTACAGCAATATCTTTCATTTCCAGGTATTTCAAACTAGTCAGCTTGTTCATGTTTTCCAAGAGTTTATAATCTTCACTAGTAGCTAAGGAAAAAGAGAAGGAAGAGAGAAAAAGCCAGCTTTATCTTTTTAAAATGTCAATTACTTATTGGAAAAAAAATAGTCACCCTGCCGACAAACGTTCACATACTCAAGGCAATGGTTTTCCCCGTTGCAATGTATGGCTGTGAAAGTTGGACCATAAGGAAGGCTGAGTGCCAAAGGATTGAGGCCTTTGAATTGTGGTGCTAGAGGAGACTCCTGCAAGTCCCTTGGACCGCAAGGCGATCAAACCGGTCAGTCCTAGAGGAGATCAACCCTGACTGCTCTTTAGAAGGCCAGATGCTGAAGATGAAACTCAAATACTCTGGCCACCTAATGAGAAGGAAGGACTCCCTGGAGAAGACCCTGATGCTGGGAACAATTGACGGGAAAAGAAGAAGGGGACAGCAGAGGATGAGGTGGCTGGATGGAGCCACTGAAGCAGTCGGCGTGAGCTTGGGTGGACTCCGGGGGATGGTGGAGGACAGGAAGGCCTGGAGGAGTGTTGTCCATGGGGTTGCGATGGGTTGGATGTGACTTCGCAAGTAACAACAACTTGTGAGAAATAAGTGAGGCTAAAGGATGCTTGCAAAATCCATCCCTTTGTATTGATAATGCTGGAAAAAAGACAGAGAAGGCTAGAGCCGGTCCAGCCCAGCATGGCTTGGTTTGAGAACACCCATACACGATCTGACGCTGCTCAAAGATGGCAAGATTTCGGCAGCACCCTTGCCTGGGATTAAGTCCCCCTGAACTCAGCAGCATTTGCCTCTGAGGAAATATACAGCCCACTGTGCAGTATTTTAATGCAAACTTACCTGTCAGTTCACCTGTTAAATAAATGGCCATTTTTTTGAACATATCCATACACAGTTCATTGATATCTTCCTCTGCTGGCTCTGTAGCCTCCTCCGCCGTTTCAACAGCAGGATCCTCTGTTCAGATTTAGAAGGATAACAGAAAACAGAAAGGTAGCATCAGCTCTTTGACACATTCACATCAAGTGCAAATCAATACAGCAGTGGGATAAAGAGATATATTGAAGACTAACTGATCTTTTGGTTTCACAGGGGTTGTAAGAACTATAAACATTTGTGTAAGGAACATTATGTGACCATGTCATTAGTAAAAATGCATTTATTGCATCCTGCTCCAGGGATAAGGCTGTTGTCAAATCCAGAGGTGGACTATCTTATCCCAAATATATGCATGCTCCCTAACAACAGTGGTGGACTGCAACAATCAGCGTGGTTTATTGTTAGTAAAACTAAAAGGGGAAATAAGAATTCCAGTGGGAGCAAGTTAATCAGTATAAGCTGCACAAGATTAAGAATATACAGCAGTTCTAGAATTCAGTGGATTAAAAGTGCACAGATCCAAAAAAGATCTGAGGCAGAAACAAGGACAGGACCAGGCGTGCCTCTGTGAGAAGGACCTTCCATCTCTGGGTATTCAGTCCTAGAATGGCCTTTTCCTCAACACGTATTTATGTGAATTTATGGCCTGTACTGTCCAATAGCTGAAGTACTCTGGACAGTGAACAATAATAAACTACCATATTGAATAAAACAATAAACCATCATAAACTTACATTTAAAATTTAAAACTACCGTGTTTTTCTGTTTAAAAGACAGTACTTTTTCTTAAAATATTTACCTAAAAACGAAGGGAAGTCTTATACACGGGAACCGAGAGAACTGCGGGCGCGCTGGTGGGGGGAAGCAGGCGTGGGCGTGATCGGGGGAGGTGGGCGTGATTGTGGGTGCGATTTGGGGGGAGGCAGGCGTAGGGGCGGGTACGATCGGGTGGGGGAGAGGTGGGCGCGATGGGGGGGAGACTGGTGCGGGTGCATGTATGCAGGGGGCCGGCGGGCATGCGCAGCAGCAGTTTGCTGGCTTAGAGATCAGTACAAAAAATGGGGGGCCTCCTATACATGGGGGGCGTCTTATAGTCGGAAAAATGCGGTATGTCCTTACAACTAGACAGCTAAAACTAGTCCATGCTTCTAGGTCTGCTGGAAAAGTCTCTGGACCCATGTGCTACCTGCAGCCGGCAGATGCCGCAGCAAGGAGGGCCAGCTCAACCTGGCATCTAAAAGACAGACTAGTACCTTGTGCTGGGCTCAAAGGTACACAGGCAGCCGGTGCAGGTGGGAGCTGTATGTTTGGCCTATCTAGTCACCGTGCTTGGTCTGGCAGCTGCAGCGTCTGGACAGTCTTCAAGGGCAACCCCAGGGAGATGGCACTGCAGTAATCTAGTGCAGAGACTGCAGGCATGTGGGTTACCAGAGCCAGGATCGCCCTGCCCAGGGAGGGGGTCGCCGGGCCACCAGGCAAGGCTGGCAGAAGGCACTCGGTGCCGCTCCCTGCCCGCACCCTTGGCAGAGTGTTGCCCCCAGGGGCTTCCAAGGGGCCAGGAGGGGGCTGGCCGGGGCGGGGCCATCATGCCTCTCACGCACTGCATGCCACTGGCCCGGCCCAGGTACCGCGTCGCTCGCCACGGCCCCTTTCCACGTGCACCGCCCAGCAGGTCCCCTCTCCACCGAGCGCGAGGGCGGGCTGCGCGCTTGCAAGCCAACCGCCGACTCGTCTGTCTCAGGACGGGCTCCGCCGCCAGGATCCAGGCTCCACAGGCCTTGCCGAGCTCCGCGCGAGGCCCTCCCCAGCCCTCGCCAGGCCGGCTGTGCATCGCCAAGGGCTCCTCCCGCGGCGCGCCCGCCGCGGCGAGGGCCAGTCCGAAGGACCCACTTGGGAGCGCAGCTCCCCCGCGCAGGCTGCGACGATCCGAGAAGCTCAAGCATGAGTGCGGCCCTGCACTCCCCGGCGACGGCGGCGCAGGATCGCGCCGGAGTCGCTGCGATCCCGCCTCGTAGAGGCGGCGCAGCGCCGGATCCGCGCCGGCAGCGAGGTCGGGAGGCAGGGAGGAGGGCGCGCTCCCGCTCCGCGCGCCGGGCAGGCACCGCCCGCCAAGCGCGCCGCTCGCTCTCCGGGGCCGGGCGCGCGGCAGCGGGCAGGGCGCGCCCCGGGCCCGGCGCAGGACACCGTGCGCTGCCTCTGC